CCTGGGGGCAGATCCCCAGTGCACAAGCTAGTACCCGCCAGGGCTGCGATCCCATATCCCCCTCCTGCCTCTATGCAGCCTTCACCAGCCTGGCCTCTCTGAGCAGTCTGGACTCCAATCCCCATCAGCCCGAGCCGTCATGGCCCGCAGTGGTCAAAACCTGCTTAAAACGGAGGGCGTAGGTTTCTGAGGTTGAGGCTCAGGCAGGCTCTTTGCCTCGCAGTGGGCTGGAGATCCCTGGAAAGCTATAAATAATGCCGCATAACCCCCCCACCGCCCCCTCCCCGCTCCACTGGCTGGTGTTCCCTCCCCGCGAGTCTATTGTGCTTCGGAAATCGGAGCTCGCTTTGGCAAGGGGCACCCTTGCGTGGGCGGAGGTGGAGGGCGGGAATTAGCAGCTGTGAGCTGGAGCGGGCAGAGAATTCCCTCCGCGTGGCACAGTGCCAGCGGCACCCTTGCGGGAATACCAGCTGGCTGAGCTGCGTTCCCGGAGGCGATGCACTGAGGTCTCCGGACGGCCTCCACGCCTGAGCCGAAGTGGAGTCTCTTCCTTTCGGAACCGCTCTGCTTCCTTTCTCCGCTTTCCAGCAGGGTGAAGCTGTTGCTGGTTACAGGGGTGGGGGGCTGCTTTGTTTGCCCCCGGAGCAGTTGACTGAAGATCCTTAGGACCCTCGATCAGAGCGGTGCAGGGGCTGACGTGTTGGGCTGGGACTGGCTCGCCTGCCCGTCAGCATAGCCTACCTCGCAGGGCTGTTGTGAGACAAGGTCGGGGAGGACCACATAAGCCAGTTGGGGTTCGTGGCATGCCAGTTGGTGGGATGGAAAGATAATAAATAAATAGTAAGTGATGATCTATTTTAAAATACTGAGGTTATTCATTTTTCTGCACCACAGGTGCAGAAAATATCTTGGGCAAAGGAAATAGAATGGGGGGGAAGCAGAGGGGCTGTTATCGCCCCATCTTTTGGCCTAGCCTACCTCATAAGGTTGTGGTGAAGATAAACAGGCTGTGAGATTATGATTCGCGTCCGCTTCCATTTATATCTCCTCTATTCAGAGATCCAGCCCCATAAAGTCAATGGAAAAACTCTGTGAAAATGTTTAAGATGTTTAAAATTAGAACTTTCTATCTGCATGCTGTAAAAGTGACCTAGGAGAACAGGCAGGGTGGATTTAAAAAGGGAACTAAGAAATAAGAAAATGTAAGTTTTCTCCGTTAATGGGGACCTCCTGCGGGTTTCCTTCCTGGGCTGATGCTTTCGCTATCTCTGGGGCTGCCTCGTTCCTGCTGCTAAGAGCCAAGCAGGACTGGCCTCTTCAGGAAGGAGTCCTGGGTTGCGAATCGCATCCAAGGGATGCAGGGGTCCACCTGGCTGGTGTGTCTCCTCCAAGGAAGCTTGACAGGCAGCTGTGGCTGAGGAACTGGGGTTACAGGAGGTCGCTGGGCAAGCTGGTGCCTTTTTTCTTCTGGGCTGCTCTGGTTTGGGTGCTCTGCATGCGAGAAGAAGGCTCGGCCAAACCGGGGTGTGCCATCTGCAACAGTCAGACCAGAATTAATATTTCAGCGCCGTCGAAGCCGTTCCCGACTCAGACCGCTTGCCAGCTGGGGGCCCAAGAGCAGCCTGCGAAAGTTTCGCTGGCAGAAGCGAACGGCACGGAAGCTGTTTGTCATCGGGTAGCTTTTCTAGTGACTCCTTCAGCATTCCCGATGTTCATTGGTCATGCAGGTTGGGGCTGATGGGCCCTGATGTCCAGCAACACCTGACAGTGTGACAGTAGTTTCCCACCTTTGCTGAGGGCTTTTCTGTGTGTTCGCTACAGGAACGTTGGCTGAATTGGAAATTATATTAGATTTCTTTATCCTTTAAACTAGGGCTTTCTGAATCTCAGATCTGCTAGCCAGCTCTTACCTCTTACACCCCATTCTGACCCTCTGTGCTTCCTCGGAAGGAAAAGCTCCCTTTCTTGCAGCCCCACGTGTTTGGGGGATGCCCAGCTTTCTTTCCATTTGGAAAGGTCAAAATTCCAGGACCAGCTTCAAGCTAAAACAGGCTATTATTTATGGGGTTACAAAGTTGGGGTTTGCCTTCTCCCACTCAAAGACTGAGATGCAAGCACCTGAGAGCTGTTCAGAAATGGAATTCGGCCTTTGGCTGAAAGATGTTCAGCGCCGTGACTTAAAACACTGGATGTGAAAATTTAACTTCTCGGTGATTGCTTCTTCCGGCACCTTGAGATGGCACAACGTGAGATGGAAGAGGGAGTGAAGGTTTTCCGGTGTTGGATTTAATATTATCCGAATAGCACTTAATAGGAAAGCTATCACGCCTTCATGGACTCCTGCAGTCTTGGTCACCTTCGGATAAATACATCCACCCCCCCCCCTGCTTTTGCAAAATGTTTCTTGTCTGTTTGCCTATGGCGAGTCTTGAGCTCTTCTAGAAAACGGGTGCGAGACTGTTTTCTAAGAGCCTGCCCAAATTTCTTGTACTGGGAAGGGGTTGGCTCTCAAACCCTGCAGTTCGGCCCAGCCATCTCCATTAATGGGAACCGGTAAATGCCCATTACACCCTGTGAATTAGCACTTGGCCTCGGCACTGGGGACACCAGGTCACTTGTTCCTCCTGGAACAATTCACAAGGGGTTCACTTGTGAGGAATCCTAATTGGGTTTCTGCGGATGAGGAATATCTAATTCTCAGGGCTTGGAGAGGGCTGGAGCTGAAGGGAAGCTTTTTGTGGATGTTACGGAGCAAAATAAGATGTCTTTTTGGTAACTGGGGGGCTTCTCCCCACACAGGGAAATCAATGCCTGGCCATAGAGCGGATGGTAGAGAAACCTTGCGAAGAAAAAAGCCTAGCTTTTTTATTGCCTGGAGAGGCCTTTCTTTTAAGCTTCCAAACTTATCCTCTTCCAGAGTTTGGCAGCTTTCCTCTTTGGCAGAGCTCTTGTACCTTTTTATTACAATGGATCCACAGGTATATCCCCTGTTGGCTCTGCATATTGTCCAGACTGGTCAGGATGGATGGAAATTATAGTCCAGTTGCACCTGTGGCTGTAAGGCGCTTTAAGAGTTGCAAAAATCCAGGAGACAAAACTTCTTGCAAGCCACCATTGCTGCTGAATTTCTGCTTCTTAAAGGATTTTTTTTTTTTTTGCTTTGCTTTGTTTTGTTTTGTTTTGTTTGTGCCAGCAGACTGGCACCAGCATTATCTCATGGACATTTCCGAACACAGCCCAATTGGCTTCTGCTTGGACATAGACCAGTTTTTAAATGAAATTTTAAAAGCACACACAGGGAAGTGTGAGTGCGATGCCCCTGAGCATGTACAGAGTGCTTCCTTGCAAATAGCAGATGAAAGCGCTAAGTGCACCTGCTCACTCTGTCTTTTAATTTCATATATGGACATCTTTATTTCATTTTCACTAAATGAAAAATTTGTGACATTTTCTTCTGCGGAAGCAGAGTGAGGAAGGGAAAAGAAAAGAAGAGAGAACCTCCAATTTAATCAAGCTGGAGAAAGAAAGGACATTGTTATTACCCAAATGATGGCGTCAGTTAATGGGTAGGAAAGAAAGAATGGGTACCCCCGGGCAACCAAAGAAGCAATTACCTTTAAAAAACGAAACGCAGCCAGGGATACAGGCTTGGGTGATAATGGCATTTGACTGCTACTTTCATTTCCCTTAATAAACGATAATCAGAGTTTTGCACCCATTATGACACCCCAAACCACCCAATGAAATGATTGGCATGTTAAAAGTCTGAAATGACTTTTTGCCCTTTTGAGCGTTATCTGGGGGTTAAAATGGGGTTTCCTAACAGTTGTTTTTTTTTTTAATTAAAACCAGCCAAGGGTGGGGCGTGGAAATGTGGCAGAAAGGAAGCTTGTCCCTTCCCCTCCCTCTGTTATTTTTCTGTATCTAAATCTTTACCCTGTGCCGACTCGTTCTTGAGTAATGCCCCAGTTTTTAATCCAGTTTTTTACCCTCTTCCGTTGTCCTGCCTCTTTCCACCCAGTACTGGTGACTCGGTGGTTTCCCCGGCTTTGCTGGGTTTCCCATCCCCGGATGCTGTCAAGATGAAATGCCTCTCCTAAAGTTTGCTTAGAGCATTTTGCAAACATCGGCTGGGAGCCTTGGCTTCGCCCATTCTGCCTTTGCCTCCACCCCAACCAACATGGCTAGAAAGCGGCCTTTCCAAGAACATCTCTGAAACGGCTTTTTGGTCTTGTGCTAAAAGAGAAACTACCCCCCTGCTGTACAGTAATCCTCATCATGGGGACGATTCTTTCTACATAATTTATGTATGTCTGTATGTATTTAAAGTTTTTATATGCCGTCCCCTTGCTATATAGCCTCGGGACGGCTCACAGAAATAAATAAATATAATACAATACAATTAAAACCTGGAAACACCCTGGCTGCACAATTAAAACCTCTAAATATTAAACAGTTAAAATATTGTTTCAATAAAAAGGTCTTAGCCTGGCGCTGAAAAACAAATAACGACAAACAAATAATAATTTGTTGTTTTTCCTCTTGCAAGGCACCTGAGGTGGCTCACATGGGCCGCCTCCTCTCCATTTTATCCTCACAACAACCCTGTGAGGTAGATTAGGTTGAGAATCAGTGACTGGCCGAAAGTCTCCCAGTGAGCTTCATGAACAAGAGGGACTAGAATCTTGTTTTCTAAGCCCTGGTCCAACACTCTAACTGCAATGCCAAATGGGGTTGGGAGAGGGGGATTTCTTCTGGGAAATCGCATGGGGAAGGGGGATAATCCTATAGTAACTCCCCCTCCAAGAATTGGTCCAACCCCCTTTTAAAGTCACCTAAACTCACGACCATCACAACGTCTTCCCCCATGACTTCCAATATTCAACTCTGTGCTTGTCCTTCCTTTGATCCTTCCTCCGTCATCCTGCTAGGAACTTCATGGGAAGGCACCATCAGAATCTAGGATGAAGCGAGAAGGAGAAGAGGGCCGATGCCAAACCCCCTTTGGGCAAGTCAAGCTCCACCGCTTTCCTTCTTTTTAGATGGCCGGGCCCCCGATCTGAACTGGCCCACCACCTTTTTCCTCGAAACGTCGCCCAAGCAGGAGTGTGGCATTTTTCTCTGGCAGCCCTCAGTTCTCCTTTAAGTAAGCATGTGGGCAGAGAATCAAGGACAAAGTATTTCCCTCCCTATTTTCCACCCACAATACTAGGATTCAGGGTCAGAATCCCCTACTTAGAAAAGGGGACATTTCTACGTTGTCCTGGCCTTACCGCTGCTCTTATTGTTAATCACGCTTAATAACGCTTATTGTTGGAAGCAGCAGTCACACCCTCCTCTGACGCTGTGACAAATTTGTTGTGATAATTGCCGGTCTGTTTGAATGAAAAGCAAAGCTGAGGCTGTGGGACAGGACAGACCTGAAGGTCACTTGGCATTGCTACTCTGCAGATACACTGAGACACTTGCAAACTCGTCTGTACTGGAAAGAAACTTCTGGTTTTCTGGCCCGTATCTCTTTAACCTGCTATTTCTTTCTTTGCTTCCCAGGGCTCCATGTTCTCTCTGGCACTGAAATGCCTTATCAGCCTCTCCACAGTCATTTTATTGGGGCTCATAATTGCGTACCACACCCGTGAAGTACAGGTATGTCCCTGCAGTTCTGGAGTTGATACGGGATGGGGATGATGATGTGCTTTTTGTTGTGGGCTTTTTCTCCTATTTCTTTTTAAAACCTTCAGCAGAACAGTAGGATAGAGCAATAATACAGTGTTAGACTGGAGCGTGTGGGGAAAACCGAGGCTCAAATCTGTTGTGAAATTCATGGGTTGACCTTGTCTTCCACCTGGCAATTAAGTTGCAGGGATGAAATTGATGGCAGAGCAAAGAAGCCCCTGCATTTATTTATTTATTAATTTAAAACTTTTCTAGGCCATCCGCTACAAGTGTCTCAGGATGGCTTACAAGAAAAAGAAAAGGGAAATAAACATGAAAATATACAATGAAACAAGGCACTGCATCCAACCTCAATATTAAAACTCAGAATAAAACTAATTAAACAGTAAAATTCTGGGAAAATATAAGGGTTTCGTCTGGCCCTTAAAAGAATCAAGCATGTCACCCTGAACTCCTTGGTGTAAGGAGCAGTATGTATAACGGTCATTGCAGGCTTCTGAGTTCAGGCTTGAGTGCTGGCCAAGCCAAAAGAAGTGCTTTTTTTCAGGTGATTTCTCTGCCTTCCTGGCCTGAAAGATCTTAGATTGCTGGAAATTCAAATGTGCTGGCAACTTTGATTTTATTTGGTTGGGACTAAGGTTTGCTCATTGGGCCAGAACTGGTGTTATTTCCATCAATTGCTCTTTGGAATAATCACGGTGCTTCTCTTGTGTACGCTTTGGTCTTGATGAGGTCCTCCTGGATTATCCTTTTGGAACACTCTTGTCTTTGGATTTTGTGGGTAACAGACCCCCCTTTCCCTCCATGCCAGTGTGTGTGTGTGTGTGTGTGTGTGTGTGTTCCAGTTAACAGTCTGGCTTCTGTCAAAGTAGGTCTGTGGAATCATATACTGCAATAAATCTGTTAGTTTTTAGACTGCTGCAACTCTTTATGTTTGCCGTAACAGAATTAGCATGGTAGCCCTTCTCAAATTGTAGGCAAGAGCACAGCTGAAAGAAATGGCGTGTACTTGAGCTCTCATATAAAGGGTATAGGGAGGTGGGCAGGATTAAGCCACCGTTTTTGGAGTTGGCAGATGTACCAGAAAGCCACCTGGGTCTCCTCAAAGGCTCAAGACCCAGTAAGCCACGGATCCTCAGCATGGTGCCTGTATGCATATCAGTTTTTAAAAAATTATTTCCTTAAAAATGTTTCTTTTTTGTATGTGCATTTGTATGAAATGCATACAGCTTCCTAGCAGTAAACCTCAACAAAAGCAGATCCAAAATCCGAGAAGGTATCCATTTAAAGTTGGCAATTATATGCCACCAGTCCTTATACAGAAAGTGTTTCCAGATCCCCAGAAACTAAATTGTATTCTGGGAGGTGGTGTGCTCAATGCTTTTTTTGTAAAAAAAAAAAAAAAAAAAGTGCCGGAACTCACGTCTTGGGGTCACACTTTGACACTAAAAAAGATTTTCAGTTCACCAACTTTTTTTGAAATAAAGAACTTATTTACCTTTTGCACGTAGCCAGTCACTCTATACACACATAAACATAATGGTCCCGAGGTTTCGGCAAGGGGCGGCATAGAAATGTAATAATAGTATTAATAATAATAATAATAATAATAATAATAATAATAATAATAATGGTTGCCGCCGGCAGTAAGCACACACACCAATCCCAAGCTGAGCAGCATCCCAAGCTGAGCAGCGCCCTCAGAATCAGCGCCAACACACAAGCAGCCCGCATGCACCATTTTAATGATTTTTGCCGCCGACCTGCTACGCCCGACAGGGCGATTCAAAATCACTTGGAAAAATCCAACAAAAAAAGGTGCCGGAACGCCGTTCCTCTGCATTCTATGACAAAAAAAGCCCTGGGTGTGCTTATCCTTTCTGCGTTGTAATATCAGAATTTTAGCTGGCAAAAGGATATAGGGAATCCATTTCCCCTTCTATTTGTCAATTTGCACAAAGCAGGTGAATAATTTAGAAGAGTGTGTATACCACTGAATATTAAGGACTGTCCCAGTATATATTTATCTCTGTAAAAAAGAAGCAATGACTGGACATTACCCAAACAGATGCTTAAAAGAAGCACTGACTGTATTGCAGTGCCAGCAATTAAACAAACCATCCTTCGTCAGAGAGGTGTTGCGATATCCAGTAAATATGAAATGAAAAGCTTTTGCTGAATAAGATGCAGTCGAAGATCCTTATATGTGGCAAGCAGACTCCAAAGCAGCCGTTCTGTGGTGGTGCCAACGGCAGTTTCTCAAATTCCCAACCGTGCCCATGGGCCTGGAAAGGTTGAGGACCTCTGCAGTATGGTGTAGTGGTTAGTGCTGGAGTGGGGCGAGCCCAGTTGCTCCTCGGCTATGGAGCTGCCTGGCAGGCTTGGGCCAGGCCCTGCCTCTCGATCTGACCTACCTTGCAGGGCTGCTAGGAGGATAAAATTGGGAGGGAATCCCTGCGAAGTGCCACACATTCCTTGCCAGAGAAAAGCTGGTGGGGAGAGATACATAATAAGAGTATAAAATGAGCTCTGCCTGGCTAGATTGGAAGGCGGCCCGGCCCCGATTTGCAGCGAGTAACGGGGTGGTGCAGGGGGCTGCCCGTGGGGCTGCTTTGGCTGGGCATCCCCCACTTCTGCACCATGGCCTCCTCGGTTTGCCAGACGCCAGGCGCGCTGCCTCGCTAGGCCTGGAGATGGCTGCCATGGAAACGGCTTCTCTCTCCGTCTCCCCTTCCTCTCCCTCAAATTTGGGTGTGGTGAGCCCTTCTTGGGCCTCCTGCCTGGCGAGGCATGTGGTTCCCTTTCTTCTGGGTCTCGCCTTTCCGCCCCCCCGGCAGTCCTCAAGGATGTGGGGACGGCGCCCCACGGGGCCCTGCAGTTTTGGGGCGCAGGCCGGATGGGGCCTCCCAAGGCCAGGCGGAGGGCGGCAGTGAGACTGAAGGCCCTTTTGCGGCTGCCGGCAGGCCGTGGGTTTCCATGGCGACCGGAGGAGCCGGTGCCATTTCTTGGCACGTCTTTCCATTTTATTCCGGTCACTCCATCTTCTCCTGCACACACAAAATACCCCGGCTCTCAGCTGGTCTTTCCGGAGGGGACACTAAGCTGCACCCCGCTTCCCACGTGTGGCCTGTCCAACCCATGCCCTAGCAGTGTGGGGCTTTTCCCTGGAAGAAAGCCCCGGGACGCCTGGCTCAGGCCTTTCCTCAGAGTGCGTGCAGAGTGCATTTCAGACGGCATTGAAATGGAGGTGGCGGAGAGGCACATGGAAGCGGGACTGGGGTGGTATCCATCAAAGAAGAGGACGAGGAAGGAGAGCGAAGCAGGTTAGACCTGGAACAAGGACCCCATGAGACCCCTGTGGTATTTAGGGGGGATTTTGGTTGATGTGGTTTGTCAGCTTGCAATAGGGTTGCCCAAATGCAGCCAGGGGGCAAATAGGCCCTCCTTTTTAACGTCCCCACTAGAAGGATGGGGGGGCCCCCACAACTTCCACCACCCATTTCTTTGTCCCTCCTTGGTCTTGTTTTGTGGACTTTGAGATCTGTGAGTGGCGATCAGGACATTGGGATGTATATGACGAACTACCGCTGGCCTGAGGTGATCATTTTAAGTGGGGCAGTGAATCTCCCAGTAGCAACCTGGCACCCCCTCATTAAGACAGGAGCAGGGGCATTTGTGACCTTCTAGCCATTGTTGGATTTCAGTTCCCATCAGCCTTAACCAGTCTAACCAATTGTTAGAAATGATGGGAGTTGAAATCCAGCAATGCCTGGAAGTTCGCACATGTCTTGCCTGTGAAATAAGTAATTTCGTGGACAATTATGTGACTGTTGAGACAGAAAAAATCCTCTAATCTCAACTAGCATTTCACAGCTCTGCACTGAACCTGGGGTTGGGCTAGATGACCTTGGAAGTACCTTCTGACTCTAAGTTGCTTATATTTGGGAGCACGCAGGAGCCTTTAATTGTTCCTGGACATAAAAAGGGGGCTCTATAGGACTTTTTTGTCCAAACATGTAGGGTTGCACCCTTAATAAGCAATCTTTGTACCCCTCTCTCTGTCCAGTACAGGGCACCCTTGAAAACCAGCTAAAACATGGAAGTGGAAACACAGAGCAGGCTAAATTGCAGCCACAGAGCCAGGTTTCAGTGTGAAACATTAAATCTTTAACATTAAATCTGCGACTTATCCTCAATATTCCCTAAAAGAGATGTCCTAACATGCCATCTAAAGCTCATATTCATATTGTCCTAATTCCTCAGTTAAGGTTTTAGTTTGGAAAAAGACATCAGATCATAGATCTAATCAAATCATAGGTGGAATGGCCTGGGAAAGTGGGGTAAGCAGAAGTAGTGGGAGGAATTATTTTTAAACCCCCTCCCCCCCGCAGATATTTAGATTTTATTTTTTATTTTTTTTTTAGGAGAGGTGGGGTTTGGGGTTGCAGCCTTTACCCTTATTCGATGTGGCTTCTGTCCTGAATTTATAGGAGCTCTCCATGGTGCTGAACTCCAAAGCCCCAAAATAGTTTCATCAGCATGGAAAGCCTCCATTGAGAGGCTGCCAATTTCCTACCAGGATGGGTTTAAGGTTGGAGTATTGACTTACAGAGGCTGGAACTGCTCTGGTCTACAACACCTGCAGTAACACCTTTCCCAAACTGAATCTACCCAGGTACTATCATCAGCATCCAAGAACTTCCTCCATGTGCCACCTCCGAGGAAGCTGGGAACACAGAAGCAGGCAAGAGGGCCTTTTTGGGGGTTGCCCCCAAATTTAGGAACGATCTCTCCACTGAGACCCATCCGGTGCCAGGGTGGACTTGATGTACACAAATCAAATTACAGATTAAATCATGATTTAAATCACTAGGCAGTAAGACTAGATTTAAATCACGGGTTTACATGCATGCCTGCCTTACCTGTAGGTAGCGGAACTTCATTCAAATATTCCCAGTGTTCTTTTTATG